ACAATTTTCAAAATAGGAACCGGAAATTACCCGGCCCGTTTGAAACGGGTCGGTCCGGTCCGGGTTTTACGGTTTCTATTCTCATGTCTTGAAATTAGTAAAAACTCACGAAGTTCCAAAAATCAATAATCAATAATATAGGACATTAGCAAGTTTCAAAATAACAACATAGTGGTGCATATATAACACAAGTGAAAAGTCCAATACTCCATATTTTCTTGTATATAAGTTTCAAACAATTAAAGAAATTCCAAAAATATGCAACATAGCCAAAATACATATTTTCTAACATTTGTATTTAAACATGTTGTCTAACATCACATATTTAAGTGATTGCTTTTTTTTATTAAATTTTCAGTATTAGCCAAAGTTGACACATACATGGTGGGTGGTAAACACAATTTATATGTTTTAATAACAATATAACAAAAAAATATAACAAAATCGTCTTTAACAAATAATTAAATTCGATAGAAAGATATAATTCAATAACAATAAAAAGTAAAAAGATATTTATGAAACATTTAATCAATAATTTGAAAACAAAAGGATGTTACTGCAACTCAATTTAAAATCCTACTTCTAGCACAGGAAACAAAACTATTTCAAAACCGATTATCAAAAAACTATTAATAAATTAATATACAATATATATAACGGGCCGGGCCGGGTATCCGTTATTTTTTAATTTTGGAACCGGTCCGGTTCCTTAAAAAAAATTACCCGACCCTACCCGGACCGTTTTATGGAAACAAAAAATGGAACCGGCCCGTTTTTGTAATACCCCGAAAATTTAAGTTAAAATTTGCGTTTAAGATAAAATAAATTGTTATGAAAGTGACATTTTTATAATAATTGGTTTGATGAAATAAAATATTTCTTGCTTAAATAATAAAAATCATTTTTAGAAACAATATATATATACATACCATCATAACTAAAGTTCAAAACTTGAACATGAATTACTATGATTTCATTACTACTCTAGTAATGAATCATATTTTTGTAAACCATCTTTATTTTGGTCATATTTATGTAATTATTTCAAAAAAAAAATGGACTAAAATAAGTATTAACTAATCCTCCATATATACTAAGCTACTCACATAGATATATCATATACTACGTATATGTTATACCCTAGTATATACTAATATACTTCGTACTAGGTATCATATATACTAATATACCCTAGTATTAAAATAAAAAGCAATGTACGTAAAGCTAGCCCAAAGGGCCGATAAGAATCAAACTATACCCTAAACCCTTGCTGGAGGATGTGCGTAGTAGTACATATATAGGGCTTACGATCAAGGAGTTCTCCACGCATATGAACACGAAGCTGCGGAGCTATAAATCCTATAACATATACTTAGTATATTCCGTATAGCAACCTGCGCCTAACCCATCGAGAGAAAAGAGAAAGAGGATTGAGGCCACATCGCCGGAGGCTGCCGTAACGACCAGCCAATCCGCTAAACCAGTCGCTGGAGAATGATAGCACACCGGAAGAGAAGCCCGGACCGCCGGAAGAGGAACCCGTTTCGCCGCTCGCTTACGTGGTGCAGGAGGGGGAAACCGACTGGGGAAACCGGTCTTCACGCTGGTGAAGAACACCAGCAAGTCGCCAATGCTAACAAGGAGATTGCCGGAGCTCCATGCCGCGCCGCCACCTTACTTCTGACGCTGTGATGTAGGAACGACGCAGGTCTCCCTCTTCCTGAGGTCGCCGGTGCCAAGCGAGTACCGAAAACGGAAAACTTCGGTACTATGTATTTTGTCCGTCTTTAATGCGTTTGCTTCTATCCTTTCAAATTAAGTATTGGACCGGATAATAACAATCTGTTAAATAGGAATATAATCTGAGATGAATATATTAAAAAGTGAAAAAGGAATTTTTAGATTGATTGTTATTATAACCGGACTGATTAATACGGAGTAGTTAACATAAAATATGACTCGACTACTTTTAGACTAAATTAAGTTAATATATATTCGCACATGAGATTAATAATTAAAATAGCAAGATAAAGTGAAAATTAATATATTTAAAAAAAAATTACAGGAGGGGGGAAATTGTATAAAATATTAAGAATAGAAAAAGGTGACTAATTATATCATTTTAATTAAAAAGGTGATTATTTGGAGACTAAAATAGAAGAAGAGAAGTAGAGGCTTTGATTTCGAGCTAAGTTTCTCTGCCAATCCAAAATTGTTTCCTCGTATTATATGCTCATTATGCATTATGTGATTAAGTGTGAATTGTGAATTTTGTGTAAGTGATTTTGATGAATACAAATCAAGAGTACTTTTTGGGGTATTAAATATTTTTAAATACCTTTGAGATTATTTAGAGAGATTGAGAAATATTTTTAGAAGTGTATCTAAAGCCAAGATAAAATTTACGTTTTCATAAGAGGTGAGCACCGCGGGAGAAATCCGCGGTGTCGGTTTTCCACATCCGGATAAATGTGGAGGGTGATTAGGGTTGCTACTACTAAGAAGTAAAGTTTGAGTTTGAAGTAACATTTGGATCTATGATCCCTTTTAAGAAGAAGTTATAGTAGTAGTCCCTAATCATTCAGAGATACCTTATTAAGGGGTAGTTGGTAGACTGAGTCCCGATTACTCGTGACGACTTACTACTCGGAGGGCTTGGAATCCCTTTTAGGGGGTGTGCACACTTAAGGTAGTCGTTTCGTTTCCGCAAGAGCAGTTGTGGTACCGGCACTTGTTCGGGGTGGCCGTCCGTAACCACGGTCCACTGGGCTCAGTCGAAAGGTTGAGCACCGCCCTTCTAAATTACTAGGAAGTTAGAGAAGAAGATTTTATTTTGAGAAGTTCAAAGAGAAGAGTTACTATAATACGGAGTATTTTTGAAGAAAACTTGTGGATTTTAGTAAAGAAGTGATTTTGAGAAAAATCAAAGAGAAAAGAATTTTGGTGGAGTGTGTTATTTTTATATAGTATTATATGAAAATCTATTTTCGTCAAACTTGATTATTTTACGGGGTTGGGTAGTACTTACTTAGCTCTAAAGCTAATTTTTGTTTCCTTTCCTTTGTTTTGTTTTCTGCACTTTACTTGTGCAGGTGATGACGACTATGTTGATTGTTGATTGCATGCGCTTGAGAGCGGATTAAAGATGCCTTAGAAAGACTTAGCCAAGAATAAACATTTTAATAATGTCGAATATTTGTTTTATTTTATTTTGATTTAGTTGCCTGTGCATTCGGTTAGGAGATGACCGGATGTGGCGGTAACACCCGTTTCCCTATTAAGACTTCCGTTGTATTTTTCAAATGACTTTATCAATAAATAAAAGTTTTATTGCAAATATATCAGTATTTTGAGTGGGAAATTTGGGGGTGTTACAGTTTTGGACCCGAACCGCCATTACCCGGACCGGACCGCGGTTCCAAGACCCGTTTGCCCACCCCTAACGTCAATCCTCCTTTCCTACCTTTTCACCCCCTCTTCTACTTTTTTATGCTATTCATTAAACCTATTATTCTCCCTTAAATCTTGTGTCATAACCTAACGTATGGATCTTTAAAATGCGGAGGAAGTATATGAAGTACTCCCTCCGTCTCACTATAAAAACTAGCTATACGGAGTATTTTATTCTTACACGGATTACGATGTTTGACTGATCATAAAGTTAATTGATCTTTGTCATAAATAAAATTAATTTTATTAAATAAAATTTACATATTCATAAACCACATTAAAAGTTTTATAAAACCTGATCAAGAAAAATTATATTTGATAAAAGTTGGATATATAAAGTAAAAGATTAAGAAAAATTCACGTTGATCGGAGAATATTGGAGGGAGTATATCTTTAAAATGAGACGGAGAGGATATCTTTTACCCGTGTTGTGCACGAGATAAATAATTTACTCCATGCATCCCATTTAAAGGGTTCAACGCGATTTATGATATTTGAGTAGGGGGCTGCACATCGGGCGGGTTGAGTTTGCTATATTTTTTGGTCCTACCCAATTTGTTCGGGTTGGCTATTAAACAACCCGCGCTATGCAAAAAATAACTGAATCACTCCGGGTGGGTCGGGCGGGTTATGCGGGTTCGGGTTATTCTTATGCAGCCCAATAAATAATTTGAGTGGTCATAAAATTATTTTTATGATAAGATTAATAATAACATATTCGGAAATTGAATTTAAAAGTTTTACAAAAGTTTTTGCCAAAAAAAGTTTTGCAAACGTTGTAAAAAAACTCAAGTTTATAAATAAATAAATAAATAAATAAATAAATAAATAAATAAATAAATAAATAAATAAATAAATAAATAAATAAATAAATAAATATGTAAATAAGTACTCCCTCCGTCCCATTTATATTGTCTCGTTTTACCTTTTCGGGAAGTCTCACTTAAATTGTCCCATACCATATTTGGCAAAGTTTGTGTGGCTCTAAATCATTCTTACTTTATTCTTACTTTATCAATTAATATCAACCACACAAACCCACTTTTCTTAATAATCGTGCCACCTTCTTCCGTCCCAATATAAATGGGACGGAGGTAGTATAGGATAAAATGCACAAACTATACCTTAATTATATTGATGTTGTTACATTTTGATACCTTAATTCTCAAATGAAATAAATTAGTATTATAACTATATGTACATGTTTCAAATGGCATTTTTTCAAATTTCTAATAAAAAATCTTACATGATGGATGCACTTTCGTGCATACAATCTATCGTATAGTGATGACAAGGATAAAAGTAATATACAATGGATTGTATGCATAAAATTTCAGCCGCTAGAAACTTAAATAGTGATCTGTATTGCCGATTGAAACATTAACATATGTTTATGGTATCGGTTTTTCTCATTTTAGAGTTAAAATGTCAAAATGCAACTACACATATAGTTAAGATAAGTTAAGATATTATTTATCCATTTTACCTTCTCATTTTACATTGATTGTCCCATGCAATCAGTGTTGTCATGTGAACCAGTGCTATATAATTAAGTCGTATGTGTTATCAAGGATATTGTCCCCACTTCCATACATTATAAAGGAAAGGGAAAAGTGTCAAATAAGTCCATGTACTTTTAACAAAAAGTCAATTAAGTACACCTACTTTTTTTCGAGTCAATCAAGTCTATGTACTATAAAAAAATGACCAAATTGACTTTTTAACTGGTATTCAACCGGTTATCCGATTAAATGCCACGTGGATGTCCGAAGGGCAGCATTATTTTATTGTTTTCCATTTTTTTCTCTCTTCTTTTCCCTTTTCTTTTTTCCTTTCTCTCTTCCATTTCTTTTCTTCTCTTCTCTTTCTTCTCTTTTCCGGACCTCTCTTCTTTCCCTATCCTAAAATCCCCTGCAAGACTTCAACTCTCCTTTCCCAGTAGTTCCTTGCTCTCCCTCCGACAAGTCACTCCCACCGGAACAAACTTCTCCGATCTGACCTCTCTAGCCACCGTCTCCACCGCCCAGCCTCCATAGCCACCGTTTCCGCCGCCCAGCCTCCATAGCCACCGCCCCCGGAGTCCATCCTGTCCTCAACCGTCCCTTCCTCCATCCACACCGCCTCCGGCCTCCACCTCCACGGCCTTCCCCTTCGCCACCTCTATGAAGCGACCTTCAACCACGCCGGCTTCCATGGCCACCGCCCTGAGCCCCTGACCACCATACCCGCAGCTTCCGATTTCACATCCACGGTTTCCACCTCCGCATCTTCAATTGGAACGACGTCCAACCACCCAACCTCCATAGCTGCCGCCGCCTCCAGCTCCATAGATCTATAGCTGCAGACAAATGAAGGGAAAGGGGAGATGGCGGAGTTTAAACGCAGAAGAGGGCGGACCAGGAAGAAAGAGAAAAAAAAAAGAGAAAAATGGAAGAGAGAAAGGGAAAAGAAAAAGAAAAAATTGAAAAACATTAGAATAATGCCTGTTAACCGGTTAACCGGTTGAATACCTGTTAACAAGACAATTTGATCATTTTTTATAGTACACGGACTTGATTGACTCGAAAAAAAATAGGTGAACTCAATTGATTTTTTGTTAAAAGTACGTGGACTTATTTGACAGTTTTCCCTAAAGGAAATTGAATACATTTTAAATCTTGGAATCCATTTTAATTTGTTTTTTTATTTTTAGTAGTGTTATTAATGTATTATTACTACGGTGTATCATGTTATCATGTATGTGAAACGAGCTCATCTCGATCGAGCTTGACTCCTTAAAGGAGGGGCGGAACCAGAGCAGTTTTTCAGGCTTAAAGTTTGGGCTCGACTTTTATTCGAAAAATCTGTCGAGATTGACTAGTTGTACTACTCAATAATAAGCTTAATGAGGCGAGTGGGATGAAGTAAATAATCTTGATAAAGCTCGTGATGAGATTGCGCTGAAAAGGTTAATTTCATGCATGTTCGAGCTCGATTGAGGTGAGGTATTTCAACAAGTTGAATTTGAATTTCTCGACGAGTGGAGTTTGAATTTGAATCTAGCATTGAACCTTAATGAGCTTGAGTCATCATGCTCAAAATATGTTCGAGCTGAGCTCAATTTGTGATATTTAATTCAAGTAACGCCACTATTTGGGAGCACATCACTACATTCTTTTAGAAAATTACTAACAATTTGGGGCATTACTGCATTAGTCAATTGTACGTGATATGATGCATTAGGGGTGGGCATAAAAACCGCACTGAACCGGTACTGAACCGGCCCGTAATGGTACCGAACCGAATATCGGGTATTTAAATGATTCTATAAAATTTTATCCCGAAACCGTACCGTTTCAAACGGGTACGAGACCGGTCCTAGATTTTGAGAACCGAAAAATACCGGACCGAACTGTTCAAAAATAATGTCTTTGAGATTTTATTTATATTATTCAATACCCATAAATATCTTTTATTGACCAACAACTTTATAACCCAAGTATGTATTCATGCATTCCTAAAATAGCTAAATGTGTGTTATATAAATATTATTATTTTTTCCTTTTAGATATTAATTTATGTTATACAAAGTATTTGGTATATAATGAAAGAACGCCAAAGTTAAAAAAACATTAATGACTATTAATTTGTAGTAATGTAGTGTATATGACTTTTGTTGTATCATATTTGTGTAGTTTTATAACTTACTACGTAATTAATATGGTTTGAATCATCGCTCTTACGGCTCGACGATGAACTATATTAGAATTAATATTCAACTTAGAACAAAGAAGAACATTAAATATTTGTATTCTGTTCAATAATTTAACGATATTATTTTTATATGTTCTCGTGAACTTAATAAAGACGATATTATACGATTGTATATTGCATTTTGCTATATTTTTACTAAATTTCTTTCACGGTTTGAGTCTTTTTAAATTTAAATACAAAAGTGTCAATCTCTTGAATCTTTTCTAGTATTTAGTATGCGCTTTCTTGTATTTTTTTATAATCAAAATTTCACGTCAATTGGCATGTGTGATGATATCTACTAATTGCAAAATTTGTTCAAATTTTACGGCATGTGTTTGTGGCATTGTACCGAACCGTTTTGTGCCGTTCCAAAACGACATGGTACTGAATGGTTCTATTCTTAGAACCGGACCGTACCGAACCGATAGAAACCTCACGGATACATTATGGGTTTTTTTAATTTACCGGCCCGTTTCGGACCACACCCACCCCTATGATGCATGTAGGTCTCACGTAAACACATTTCAACCAAGTAAGCGGCGGAACTGGTTTGGATTTGACACGCTAACTTGACTTTTCTTTGTCAATTGTAATCATTAGTTAATATGAAATTAAATTGATGAATATGAAAATTATTTCATAATATTCCTAATTCAAATTATTTTCAAAATATTTTAAGTATATAATTTACAAATTATATACAAATATACTTCGTAATAATTAAAATCATTGTTCACTGTTTGTTATGGTTGACAAAAAAAAATGTCAATATGGTGAACATTTCCGAGGAGGTATACCGGTAGATTCTAATGCCGTTTAGTTAAGTACTCCCTTCGTCCCCTTTTAAATGGGACGGGAGATGGTGGCACGAGTTTTAAGAAAAGTGAGTTTGTGTGGTTGATATTAATTGATAAAGTAAGAATAAATTGATAATGATTTTGAGCCACACAAAGTTTACCATATGGGACAATTAAATAGGATATCCCAATATGGTAAAACGAGACATTCAAAAGGGGACGGAGGGAGTATTCCTTATAAATGTACAGTATAAATATAATAGAGTAGTCTTCATGTCCAGCCGGCCTGACGGGAACCGCCGTCCGGCCGAGGGCATTTCGGGCACTTCCCGATGGAATTTTTTGATGAAATTTTTTGAGCATGTTCTTCATGAAGTCTAGTTTATCCATACCAAATTTCAGCTCAAAATTCGATCGGGAAGGCATTCAAATAATTTTGTGAAGTTAACTGGGCAGTTTATATGTATGAACTGCCCAGTTAACTTCAAGAAATTATTTGAGTGCCTTCCCGATTGAATTTTTAGCTGAAATTTGGTATGGATAAACTAGACTTCATGAAGAACATGCTCAAAAAATTTCATCAAAAAATTCCACCGGGAAGTGCCCGAAATGCCCTCGGCCGGACGGCGGTTCCCGTCAGGCCGGCTGGACATGAAAAGTTGTCAATATAATAAAGAGATCATTATCCTCAAATAATAATACATGTGATTATAAAACCAAATAAGCTGTGATTGTAATCTGGATACCCACGTGTATTATTTAGGAGGGAGAGGGAAAGAAGCTTGGGTGGCAACCCCACAGTGTCCTTCCGGAGGACCAGCATCCTTGAGCAACCTTAAGTACCCCTGCTCACCCCAATTCGGTCCCCACGAGTTCTTGATCAGCCAAAACTTCTTCCCGCCCGCGGGGTCCGTCCCGTACCCGACCGCCGTGACGCCGTGGTTGATCACGGTCGTGCAGGCGGCGGTGAAAACCCCCTTACCATAGAACTGCAACGGCTTTCCGGCAGCGTCGATGGACACGGACACCGGCTGCCGCGACACCGCCTTCATGAGATCCGCCTCGCTGTTCTTGGGAACGTTGACGAAGCCGCCGAGCTTGGCGGCCACGGCAGAGGCCTTCTTCTGCTGACAGGGTCCTTGCACCTTGACGTACGGGTAGTTTTCTTCTGTGGTTATGCCTTTGTTTTGGGTAATGTACTTGAACCCGGCTTGCATCCATCCGCCGTTGCACCCGTGACTTATACGGTCACAGTCCACCAGCTGCTGCTCCGACAATGATACCAATTTTCCGGTGGTAATCTTGTTGAGTCCCTCCGTCGCCGCCACGGCGGAGAATGCCCAACAACACCCTGCATTTTTTTGTTATTGCTCCTCACAAGTCACAATAACGTTTGTCGAATGTATAAATTTCAAACAATATAAGCAGGCTATCAATGAGTTGTATTGGATAATTGGACGGTGAGCTGGCCCAGGATGTTCATACAACTTATGGACCATGCAAATTTGATCCAAACCCTTTTTGAAAAGATTTAACTATGGTTCCAATCCTAAAAAAATGTATTACATCCATTCTCTTGTAATTGCAACGTAGGACTTTTTGCACTATTCACACATTATACTTTGACTATAGTTTATTTATTAATGTAATACAAATTAAATTTTAAAAATAAAAAATAAATTCCTCTCATTTTAAATTTTTAAAATCTAACTTTTTTAATATTTTTACTAATAAAAAATGAAAAATATTAACACTCAAACTTCTGTTTTGGCAAACGTGAAAAGTGGACCGTTGCAATTAAAAAAGAACGGAGGAAGTATAAAACACTTTTTTTTTAGATCCTTGCGAAATACGATAGTAAGTTTTTTGTTTTTCGTTCTATAATTTGCACTATTATGTTTTTGTCTATCTCTAACTCCGAGACAATTCTATTTAGAAGAAGAAAAATTATTCTCGTTTGCATAATACTATCAGAAACTTTAAATCTAGCCTTTTATAATTTTTAGGCTAATATCAGTCAAAACAATGCAAAAAAAAATTGTTTAGAGATGGACGTACTAAAAATAAAATAGTGCATATTACAAGGATGAAAAAAATAGAGAAGTCTAAAACAAAGTGTGTCATGTTTGGAGGCACTAAAACGTATTTAAGTATTTCATATTTAACTAATGTAGAAGAATGTTTTCAATTAATATATATATAGTTGGCATTACCGCATTCCTCTTGGTTCTTGATGGGAGTAACTGCTCCCTTCTTAATCCAGTCGATGGTAGGAGGAGGGGCAGTGATGTTCTCGTATATGAAAGGTGTTGCCATCCCAGAAGAGGGTGGCTCATCAACGTAACCGAGTCTAGTGGCTCGAAATTCTTCATTGGATAAATCTGCAAACTCATTGATAGCCAAAGTAAAAGACTGGTTACCCGCCTGATTAAAAGAATCAATGAACAATGCATTCTCTCTGAACACGCTGAACCGTTGTGTCTTCTCGGTCTCATTTGAATACACTCGCCCGTACTGACTGATCCACTCTTCATACCTCTGCAACATCTCATCGTCGTGATCACTGGGTAATGTCCGACTTGTGGTTGCTGCTGCATAGCAATCCAACATCTGCAGCACTATAAAGGCTGCGAAAATAATATTTGTTTTCAATCTTGAAGTTGTCATTTTTTTACCTTCCTGATTATATTGAAGTGGAGCTTTTCGATGGAGAGGAAGCTGCGTGCAGGATATATTTTTGCCAATTAATATTGGTTAAGATAGTGTTTTTTCAACTCACCACTCCAACTTCCTAAACCAGGCACATTCTGCATGGTGTTGCTTTTTTCTTATAATTTATTTTGTTTGTTAGTTTGTTTGGGGCTCCATGCACGCTTGCCTGCATCCCTAAATGACATGGGTTCTCTTAGTTTAGAGAAACTTGAGTAGAGGGAACTAATCAGCAACAATATATGTATGCAACAAATGCGATTAAATTGGATATGCTGATCCGAGTTTGACCATTTTCACTTGTTTTGTTTCATGTAAGCAGTCATGTTTTGGACCTGATCTCAGTTCTGAAGACAAAGTCAATGACTCTAAAATTCTAGAACTGGAACCAGCCTAGAACCTGATCAGACCGCTATATATAGGGTTTCAATACAAGTTCTATCAAATGAAATATAAAACCAGTCGTCTTGGAATTGGAAGTAATAGGCCATCTTAAATGTAGTGTAAATCAAGGGTGAATTGGAGCTAGAGGTTCTCGGCCACTATCAGGACCCACCTATTTTTTGCCAAGATACCAATAGATTTTAAGTTCTAGCAAGATCAAGTGCCAAAAGCTGGTCCAAACCCAGTTCAGCTCATCCAAAATAAGACACAGCTAGAATTGACGCACAAACCGGGCTATAACCAAACCAAGACTCAACCCAAAAAAGGACATGCTATACCCGATTCCGGTTTAAGTTCCTCTCCTCCCAATTCCCATGACTTGAAACCAGCCAGTACGGTCCTTCATCAAGACCAGATCCAACCCTTGGCTGCTAGCAGAGGAACCTAGTTCAACTTAAAAATGGTCACTGGAAAACTGGAAGTCAAAGGTTGGCCAAGTAGTAAACAGAAATGAGACAGTATCACCACCGCACAGCATCATTCTGGGTAAAACTCATATCTTAACCCATATCCATATGATTCAACTAAACATATCACTTCTTCAACAAAGGAGACATTGATTGAATCAACACAATATATATCTTTATACATAAAGAAGACAGAATAAGACTGCACTCACATATACACAGAGGATGACACTTTTTTGTGGCTAAAGAAGAAAAATACAGTAGTAGTACAGAGTATAGGTATATGATGTACAACATGTTATGAGCTATGTTTCTCTTTCCATATAGTTAGTTCTCATCTAACAGCCTCGGGAGCAGAGTTGCAGTAAGGAGTGTGCAAGCAAACCAACTTAGTAAAAGATAAGCAAATGCTAGCAAAGAAGGCACCAACCACTAGCCCAGCAACACCCTTCTGCTTGTCCAGCCGCATCGCTCTCCTAACAATGCTCCAAAAACACGGGAGCAGGGCCCCACATGCAATTACCATAATGTGGTCCAATCCACTGTAGTCAATTCCAGCGAGCATGGCTCCGATCGCTGATGAGGGACCAACAAAACCGATTAGCCCGGCTGCCAAGAGGGCCCCGTGCCAGCTGTCAGTGGCCCCAAAGATGCAACTTGCAACGGCAGCACCTCTGGGGAGTCCGTGGAGCGAAACGGGTAGGACCATGTCCCTTCCGAATCCGTATGCTTTGGGTGCCGCAACTCCTAAGGCAAGCCCTTCAGCCAGCGCGTGGAGGGCAACAGCCAGACAGCAAAGGACAGACTGAAGGGTCAGTGCGCTTAAAGTTAAGCCAGCCATGGCGGATAAAGAATTTGCAGAAGTGGTCCTTTTGTGTCCTCTGAGTTTCAAAACACTTGATGTTGAGAAATGTGAAAATGCAAATCCAGTCATGAGGAGGGATGTTAGAGATAGAAAGTCCATTTTTGAAGACAAGAGGAGTTGCAATGGCCTCCAGACACCGAGGACAAAGGCAATCCCTGATGATACACTGGTTAGGAGCGCATGCTGAAGGCGGAATGCAAGAGCAAATGCAATAAGAGATACTCCTCCCAAAAGCGGGCCCAGACCAAAAAGTAGAGAGATAAGAAAACCAGATGCGTCCTCTGATCTGCAGGTCAAATATGCTCTGGTTAAATAAGGAGTATAAAAATAACTTGTGTATTTGTATAAATGAAAGATATCATTTCTCAGTCACAAAAAGAGAGGCTTCACTCCGGTTTCTGTCCCACAGTTTTATTTCTCTAAACTAGATGTGCAATTATTTTTCTACTTCTGAGTTTACCCTTGTTTACATTTTCATTTCCTGAAGGCCAAGATTGGCATAGCACTTTAATTAACGTTACAAACAGTAAAAGTGAGACTTGCATAAGAAGTTAAATGTTCAACTAACTTAACGACTAGTCCGTGTTTATTCCCAGTGTCATTAACTACATGCCTATCCTTTTTAGAGGGGTGGTAATTTCACCAGCATCTGAAGCACACGACCCTAATTTATGGGAATAAATAAATACCTAAAGGACATATATATAGAGGATTATTCATGTCCCTCCGTTCCTGACCGGAGCGCCGTCCGACCTCCGCCTTTTGGGGCGGTTCCCGGTGGTATATTTTGCTCAAATTTTTTGTGAATGTTCCTCATCAAGTCTAGTTTATTCATACCAAATTTCAGCAAAAAAATTCAATCGGGCAGGCAGTCAAATGATTTTTTGAATAGCGCTCAGGTACTTCCTGACCGGAAGGTTACTCTCTCTCTCTCTCTCTATATATATATATATATACATATATATATACATATATATATACACATATATATAGAATTCGGATCAAATAAAAAAAGTCTTAACATGTAAAATGAGAATTAATCTCAGCCGTCCAGAGTGTCGATCTGATGCACAATAACCCCTATCTGATGCACTTTCAAATAGACCTTATTTGATGCACTTTTCGAAAAGTGCATCAAATAAGGTCTATTTGAAAGTGCATCAGATAGGGGTTATTGTGCATCAGATCGACACTCTGGACGGCTGAGATTAATTCTCATTTTACACGTTAAGATGTCTTCTCATTTGAACTCATCCCTATATATATTATATTATATATATATATATTATATATATATATATTATATATATGATGTTTATTTATAATCTGTAATTCTGTATGTATTTATATTGTTAGCACATCCTCTTGGATCATTGTGTTTTAGGTAATGAAATTGGGGTTTATAAAAACTTATCAACACTATTTGTATTACTCATAAAGTGACTTATTAACACTATTAGTATTACCCATAAAGTGACTGTGACTGTCTTGCTAAGTTGCCGTTTAAATTGTTGTGAGTTACACAACAGCTTATAAGGGAGAACATATAATTTTATGTGTAGCACAAGTTTTCCCCCTTATAATATTTACAAACATGAACACTCTAATTTTGAATGTGTTACAAGTAAGTATTGTCATCCATTATGGTGGATTGGATGTGGATGTGATGTGTAACATATGACAGACGGACAGATGGACTAAATGTAGAGTTGACACTTGACATATGGAGCTTCAACAGATCCATTGCCAACCCTTACCGGGACGAAGTGAGTGATTTTTAGTAATTGTCCTTGAACCTGAATTGCCATTATGTTTTTAGCCGAAGGGCATTCTTGGTACATTTTCAAAGCAGGGGTTAGAGTTCAACATGCAAGGAGAAAGGAAAAAACAAATTGAAAGCCCCATATTATGCAAAGTCAAGTGCGGCCTTATGTTCTCAAAATTTTCATTTTCAAAGGCTTTTCATGTGTGTGTGTGTGTGGGGGGGGGGGGGGGGGGGGCTCACTTGAAATTGTGGCCGAAGTGTTGGAACACTGTACTTAAGCCTTCCATAAATGCTACAGAGAGTGTAGCTGCAGATGCAACATGGGATGGAGAAGCTTCCTGCACGCCAAAATCCCTTGAGATGTAAAAAGCACACATCAAATCAACTTATGTGTTGTTGGCCATAATCTATTCCAAATCAAGTTATGTGTTATTGGACTTGACTACTTAAATTCTAGACGTGCACTAATATTTCCTAGTCCAAGCACAGTTAGAAAGAATAAATAATTAAGTGTCCCCTAATCAATAACTAAAAACATTGTCTGCAAAAACAAAGTGCCCTAAGAAAAAACCAACGATGCAAAGATTTTAGTTAAAATAAAAACATCCTAAGGCATAGATTTTAGTCATAATAAAAACATCCTCAAAGGCTCAAAAACTTTCATGATCATCCTCGTACAATTTCTAGGACAGTACTTTATCCCTGCTTCAATGTGTGGTCCGTAAGGGTATATTCAAGGAATGTTAAATTTTTATATTTGATCTTATGATGGAAAATGGATAGGAAACTTTACATGATTAATGTTTTTAAATTTTTTACATGTTGTTAGATCTCATAGTTTTTATGATTGTATACTGTATGATAATAGTACAAATAAATAAAACATAAATATTGATGAGTTTGAACAAAAATATCTAAAATAAATGTATTGTCTTTATGACTTCCCCAAAATTATCTTTCTCCTTCCTATTTTCCTCCCTGGTACATTCCAGGTTCCAAACGGAACCTTAAAAGGTGTGAATATAAGAAATGTGTACCTTCAACCCGTCTGGAAGGACTTCTGCCATAACCATCCAAATCATGCAGCCGGCAGCAAAGCCAGTAGCAAAGGGGAGGAACTTGTTAAACGCATCAGCACACACAAATGATGGCACTGCTACTATAGGCTGCATCAACAGCATGATAAATATTGGATTTAATATCATTATATCACTACTTATGATATTAAGCCCTAAATTTATCACCATCGTAAGCAAATCAATCAATCCCAATTGAAACCTCAGTTATTTACCTGTGGCAGTGAAGTAATTATGCTCCATAACATTGCCTTATGTGGAGGAACTCCTTTAGACGCAAGAACCATACTCACAGCCAAACCTTCTGGAATATTATGCACCGCAATGGCCAAAGTTACCAATAAACCCTGGGACAGACCTTTGGAGCCAGCAAAGGATACCCCAACACCAGCACCTTCACCAAATGAATGGAGAGTCATAATTCCTATGACAAGTACAGCTTTTGCTGCATCTGCTCCCTTTATATCTAACATGCTAACTTCCCCATAATGATCAAGAAACTGTTTCTCAGAATTGACATAA